TACAAACATTTTTGGATGGGATGTAATTCACTTTTGTGTGAACAAGGATATCTTTAAGATGCTTTTTCGGAAGGAGACAACTGGAACTTCAGGAGATATTTCTGAGTAGCCAAGTCTTGCTATATTTCATTACAACAATAAAATTTGGAAATGGTATTTTTAAGAAATGATTACGATATTTGTATTTGTTCCAGATTTGAACGTATTACTTTTTATGTTTTATTATATTTTTTTCAAATCCCCAAAAACTCTTTATCGTCCATAAAATGCAAATTTTGTCTATACAAGACCCGAAAATAATATTTCTAAGTAAATCTAAACAATAAACGAGTATTTATATTTTTAACTAGGATTTCATGTTTATATATGTACATAAAACATATTTTAATTTTATTTCAAGTTTATGTTTCATTGCAGCCGTACTTTTGTTTATTGTGCCGAATAAATCGTGAGGTTAGCACGGTGAACTCAGTACATTTGCCGTAAACTATCATGCCTGTTGGTGATTACTCTTGTTCAGTCCAGCGCAGGTGCATTTCAACATTACTGTAGATATGATAGTAAGAAAGCTTTTCGGTACTTGAATATAATTTCTTTGTTCTTTCAAACAAGTTTATTGCAACATATGTCACTGTATGTTGTTTCACTATAGAAACATAACTAACTGTCACTACTAGCGTATGTATGTAATAGTTTACAGTACAGGTGGTTTGAATAACACCGCCTGACCCTAGTTAATTTTTACATCTGTTAGAAAGGATTACCAAACGATACAGAAACCATAAATTAAAAACAAATTACTTTACAGCACTTAAAAGATTAGTCTTGGTCACGGTCCTCTCATTATAGGCAAGATTTATGTTGGAATTCGAAATTTAAGCTCTTCAGTGTATTGAGACCCCAACTGTGAGAATGTCATAGCTTCCTCTGTATTATTGAGACGAATGTATTTAGTCTGTTTCACAATCAATATGTGGGTTTTATTGTTGTCACTTGTACACTGAGTTTTATACCATTTGCAAAATATCAGAATAAACTTCATATATATCAGTTAGACTGTTTTAATTCTAAAGCAACAAACACAGAAGTGTGGTTCTTACTGCAAAGGAAAGATAGTAATAAGGAAAAATATTAATTTCTTATGTGGTACTTGTACTAGTAGTAGTATGTACAAATCACACAAGTTTACCATTCTAAATACTAAATCATATTATTATTATAAACTAAATATAAATTACGCTAAATTAATGAACTTAAAACTACTAATTTAAATGCAAAAGAATATAAAAAAATCACAAACTCTTTCAGTTCAAAGTGTTAAGCCTAATTCACGTAAAGACCTTGCACTCGCCACTCGATATCTCTTAACCCTAACAATCGTGGATCAACTTCTTTCCTAAAAAATACATGTATTTTGAGTTAATTTTTCAATATAACGATTAATACAAATAGATATACGAGACAGCATGACTTAAGCTACTATAGAAAAATAATACAAGTCACATACATTGCATGCAGTTTTTCAAGAAGCAAGTTTGCCAAGGCTTATAAAAAATCACTACTGACCAATACTAAATACAACCTCTACATAAAATGGCAGTTACTATAATAAGCACCACCCACATTCATATTGTAAAATCCAGAGGACAACGTTTCGTCACGTGCTTTGATTATCATCCTATGATTTGTTAAACGTGAAATACAACGATTGGAAAAACGTGGTACTGAAATTGACACCTTCGACTAGGATTGGCTAAAAGTTTAACAACTGAGGTTTAACACGCCCAGGCGCTGTTTTATAAAGAAAACAAATTAGAAAAAGGTTTAGTTACAAATCATAGATGGCAGGACCTGCGCTGAAGTGCAAGGAAACATTAAAAAAATTCTTCTTAGAGGGGGCTTATTTATAGTCTCAAACGTATTTTGGGATTTTCTTATTAAATTCATTAAACAATACGATTTTGTACAAATAATTAAATGTTATGTTACTATTTACAAAAATAAAATCTGAAATCCAATAAAAGACAAGTTCTCTATAATTTCTTCAATTCACAAATATGATTTTGCCCTCACGATAAGACAAAATGGACACGGCAGGTAACGAGTTAAGACGATCGTTCAATTGTAGGAGATGAAAATGTTTTTATTCAGAATTCGTGAAACGTTTCTGAATTTATGCTGACAGGTAATAATATGAGAAATTCTATTTGAAAGTTTAGTATTGCTCTGATTTAGTATGTTTTTCCGCTGAGTGTTGTTAGCCTTTTCGATTTGTATGTCGATTTCGGTATCTTTATATCCTTTTTGTAACATGGTTTTTTTTTTATCCTTGGTGTGTTTTCTGTAATCTGTTTCATCTGAGCATATTTTCTTTATTCTAAGAGCTTGACTGTAAGGTAATGTTTCGTTTAGTGTGAAACGGGTGACAGTTTTTATAATGAAGGTATTGGGGTCTGTATGTAGGTTTTTAGTACAAGTCAGTGTGTAAAATTCCGTCATTTAGAAAAAGTGACATTAAGAAAGGGGTTTGCATGCAAGATAAATTCTAACTTTAATATTCCATCATTTTTAGCAAAATTCTACAATATTTGGAAAAATTAATTAAAAAATATTGAAAATGTTCAGAATTATCAATGGAAGATATAAACCTTCTGTAAAAACAAATGATAAAAGTGGCAAAAATCTAATTTGATTAGTCTTTTGTCTTAAATGACTAATGTTTTTCAGTTGTGTTTATTCTTTAGCAAAAAAAATCATAGTGCATTGCTAGACAGTTGTAAAAAATAGGATCTAAATTGATATTCTAATTTGCATTGGAAAAGAAGACCTAAAGTGCCCAGAATGAATCTCAGATCCTAGAACTTCTGGTTGTCCCCACATTCCTAGCTTGCAATGGCTGGAACACCCAAACAACTAATTTAAGAACTACCCCAACCTACAGGCCTGGTGTGTGTGTGTGTATATATATACACACACACACATAAGCAGAAGTGTCGTTTGGGTGCCCACTTTTGGACAAATCTAAACCAAACTCGGCATGCAACCTTTGGGTCCCCTTGGCAGTAGTATTCGGTCTAACTCTCCGAGGTGCCACTCTCTCCACGAGTTTGCAACTCGTTACTTCATGAGAAGTAATATGTCCATAATGTGTTATTTGTTCCACTCGTCTTGTCCACCGTGGCTATTGCTCACGTTTTTGTTTAGCCACATATCTGGAAAATGGTTTATTAAATTCACGTCAATCTGATTACACAGAGCAATCAGTCAGATAACGAAAGTAAGATCTAATTCTTGATAAAGCTTGTATGAAATCCATTTTGTCAACTATTTTCAGAAACTGGTCTTGGCAGTTCCTTAAAGGAAATTCATATTTGTAATACATTATTTGGCTGTTTTATTTAGAATTTAGGAACTGAAACTTACTTGGGTTTTAAACAAGAAAATTGTACTAATATAAGTGTATAACTGAGAAGGGGAAACGAGACGAACTCGCTTCCTTTTGCCTAAAGTAACAGTAATATTATTACATTTAAAATTTAACACGTTATCATACTTGTGACGAGTTACTGAAATAACGTGTTGTCCCAATCACTGCATTATTTCAATTTTAAAGGCGAAATATCTCGTATTAGCAAGATCCATTTCTGCTTAAAAGTGTAACTTCTTGTTCATCCAATTGGTATTTTCTATAAAATGATGTCTTTATTTAGATATTAGCGTAATCTATATTAACAATTCTAATCTTTATTTCGTGCTTACAGGTGATTACTGGAAACCATTTTTTAGTAACATAATATACAAATTACGACATTACTTTAGCAGTATAGTTTCATTAAAAAATTCATTTACAAGGCCATTCACTTGGTATTAATATTCATAAACAGCCAGAATAAACCAACTTTAACCCACAAATTGAAAGTGTAAGTTAAATTTTGTACTTCATTTTATAAAAAATATATATAGCGTTCTTTCTCTACAAATGAAATACTAGAACAGTAGCTTATTTCGTAACTTAAGTAATGCAACAACAGGCCTATTAAATTTTCAGTGTACTGGCCCTTTTCTTTTAACAATAATAGTTATAGCTAAATAATAACACGTTCTTGATATGAATTCCAAAAACATTTTGCGTGTATTAAATAAGAAAAAGTAACAGATCCTCATATTGTGATTACAATGAACTGTTACTGTTACAAAAGTTAATAACATAAAAAAACGATTTCACCACTTTTTTTGCTCAAGTTTCATTTTACCTACACGGTCATATGTTCATATTGTCTCATAGATACGGATTAATTAATGTGATTTTCTCCTTATTCTATTAAGAAAATTAATAGTTACTTTTTCTCAAAACGGTTTACTGTGACATGTATAACAAAGAATTTGATGATAGTTAATTGCTAAATACATAAATATATCTGTGTGATACATTTTTAATGTAGAAGGTACTGTGACAAAGAATGTACAATCACATAAATTACACAATGAATTGATAATACTAAAATATGACTGTTTCAACAACTGTTGTCATAAGTATGCAAAACCTTTGTTACTTTTATTTGCGTATATATTCAAGTGTACTGAACTTCATACTTTTACATTTATGATTTGCACAAACTACCTCATGTTATGTGTTCGCAGTTTGAGAGTTGTACTTGAAGAAAAAGACAACCATTTTTTAAACTCTAACTTTGATACGTCCCAGATTAATTTCAGCCTTTTTAAAAAACGTGATTATGGGGAAATAATTTCACACTTAATAAAGCTGCCAATCGACATTTCGCTACATACAGTGACCATAACATTTCTCTTTAATGTTAATTTATGCCTGACAAGGGCCTATGGCGATAATACAAAGTTTATACAACACAAGTTTCTCCCATTTACTTAGCTAATAATTTGTTGGATATCAACATAAAAGCTATTTTAATGTGTATGTGTGAGAACAGAGAAATCATTCTCATTTAAATAATACTAGGAAAAAGGACACGACATCTCAATAATTTGGGAACACTAACACTGCTTTCTGGGCCTTTATTTAAATCAACAAAAGCACAATGAATGATCATAAGTGACATAATATTACACAACTAAAAGACTGCTATAACAGAATGCTTAGTGAACAGAAGTAATTCTTTTTGTCAAATTCCTTTAAAGTTTTATACTGTAGGCTTCAAAAACCTCATGTTTATTCTACTGATCAAAAGGTCCTAAATCATTAGGCCATATGTGTGAAAACACATACACAAAATTCACAAGAATGAAAGTCATGCCTTTTACTGACATCACCCCCCCCCCCTTTCCGCTCAAGGCCAGTTAGTGATGTGGTCTGGTTTTTCACCCTTTTCACATCTTTCCCATGTTTTCCTATACAACTTCTCTAGATTAGATGTATACACCTTCACGTTGAACAAATTACTTTCTGTTCTGGCTCGCCACACCTTAGCACGAATTGCTTTCAAACTGAAATATAGAAAGGATTTTTGCAAAAATTATAAAAGTTCGAAAAGATAAGATCAAGGTTAGGAAAATTACATAACAGTAAAAGAACACACATTAAACTCACTAATAAACTTCCACTGTGTGAATAGATACATACTCTTTTGTTATAAGCATTTTTGTGTAGATTATATTACTTGCAGATTCAACTATAGATGGATCTTCACCAAATTTGATATGGAGGTTCACTGGGTCCATGGGGAGCTATATACAAATTTTCAGTTTTTCATTTTCTGCCACTAATTGTGTGTTGGGTTTATGTGGAGAAACATGCAAAGTTGCAGTTTCACATTTTGTGTTTTGCAGTTTTTACAATTACATATAAGGGCAGCAACTTTTCATGTCCTAAGATAACCTCTCATTAATCATGAATTTACATAATTTCCATCCAAGGGACCTGTACTCCAGCTAGTTATTAATAAACTAGTAATTTAGTTCAATGTTTCTCTAACTATTGTTTAAGAGCATCAAAATTATATTTTTAAAAGTATAATAATTTAACATCAAGTATACATTACAGAAGATATTTCATGTGTGATAGTTATGTAAAAAAGTTGTATGCAATAAAGTAGAAAATAAAAGCCAAGATTGCACTTACAAATCCCTGTCATTTCCAAGTCTCACTGCAACATCTTCATACTCTTGGCGGCTATGAGAAATAAGTTCAGATAGTCCTAGACATGTTAGCTGGGAAGAAGCTACTCGAGATGCTAGTGTTTCTCCTGGTAATGTGACCATGGGTGTACCAGCCCACAAAACATCCATGCCAGTAGTGTGGCCATTACACAGAGGAGTATCCAGACAAACATCGGCAAGTTGACCTCTCCTAACATGTTCTTCTTTAGCAGCAACATTGGAGAATATAATGCGATTAGAAGACACTCCCATATTGTTTGAATGAGCTATAATGTTTGCTTCACCAACAGCAGGAAATCTCAGTAACCAAAGAACTCCATTAGGCACTCGTTTTAAAATCTGAATTCACAAAGAAAGGGGAAAATTCAACTTCAGACAATTAAAAAGTGAAACTAAGTTTCTCTTAGGTGAACATAATGTATCTACAAGAAAATGGAGTTTGTAATGTTTTTCTTCTTTTTTATGAAGAACCAAAACAACAAAAAATTGTAGTTAAGAAAATAAAATAATTGCTTTAAAAGTTAAGGTTTAACTCTCTGAAACCAAGCTCAATCATTTTGAATATGTAACCATGAAACTTTACATAATATAACTCTGAATGTACTAGGATATTGTCACTAAATATTAAAGTTGGTTGTATACAAAAAAATGTTTTAATAATGTATTTCCACTAAAGATTTTTCTGTAAAATTTATGAAACCTTTACAGAGTCAGTCCATGCAAAATGTGATTTTCATGACAAAAATATAAATACTTCTTTTGATCTCACAGTTTACGTTTCATCTGTATAGCCTCTAGACCCACCTAAATGAAGTTTTTTTGTTGTTGTTAAAACTCCATATTTACTCTTTATTTCTCTAGCCTAACACCAACTGTAGCAAAAATAGTGAAATTTAAAAATATGAAGTCAAATGATGAATACCTACTGTTTTTGAATGATTGCAAAATGTAACAAAATCTTACTATAATGGATGTAGCATGTATCTATGTATGTAACCGAAATAATAAATACAATGTGGCTCCATCTATTGAATGTCGCCATAAACAAAAATCCATAAAAATATTTTGCACTTTGGGTATTCAAGATTCAGACAATTAGATAAATGACTGTGGTATGTTCAACATCCATTTCCTTATTACAGAATCCAATTTTAAGTACAAGTCCTCTACTCAGAACAATAACATAAATTTCACTCGGATAGTACGTGAGGGTTTGATTATATCTTTATTGATGCAATTTTTTAATTTAGTACTGAGAAATTGGAGTTCTTAAACAAAACTATTATTTTTTTTAAAAATGGTACCACTTGTATTAAAACATTACAGTTTATATCAGTACAATCCAAACACTTTTCCCATGCAGTACTTCCCAGAAAAATCCTTTTTTAGAAAATGTTCACTTTCTCTCAATGAAGTATGAATAATACGGTTAGTAATTACTAGCACAAACAGCCATCCATAAAGCAGTGTTTCTGCTAGTTATAATTAATTATCTAACACAGCTTCTTCAGTCATATAATCTTCTTTTTACCTTTTTCTTTAACTTTATTACTTCAAATGCCCGTTAAACCCTATCAAATGATGAAACAGTCAATTAACTACAACAATTACCACAGAGGAGTAACTGAGTTTAAACAGGATATCAAGTTACAATCACATGACACAGCTGAGCTGGTCTTATGATTTTTTCATTTACATTTTATCTAACCTAATGAGTAACTTTTGTTTAAAAATATATAGAAAAAACAAAAAACTTATGACTTACATTAGCAAATAGGCGTATAGAAACTCAAAAATGCACTTCAATAAAGCTACTTTATTTACACATGTTGGTTGTCCACAAAATAATTCAAGTAGCTTTCCTATATTTATTTTAAAACACACAAAAAAGCCACTTGTTAGCCACTAGAAAGCTGAATGTCACTATGGCAAACAATGAGATTGATACTTAATATCTACTTACTGAGTGCAAAAACAGCTAGCTTCATAAAAGAAAACCTTAATCTTTCTACTGGTTATACATAATCCAACAGTAAATGTCAGAGAAAGAATTACTGACCTTTTTTGAAAGACAATGAGATTGTAAAGACATAACATGTGTATTTTTTGTTTTGTTTTTTCCAATATCTTAGTAAAGCAAGAAGCTTGGGAACTAGAAATTTAGTATAATTTGTGGGCAATTCAGAAGATTGTAGCAGTAGAAAGAAAATCTAAAATAAGCAATTTGAAGCATACAGAAAAATGAAGATCAAGAATTGATTAAAATATTTCCTTTTGAAATTAAAAATTAGATAAAAATGTTGAACTATCTGCAGTTATTGTGATTTTAATTTAAAATAATTACTGTATGAAGAATTAAAGATGTGATATGCTAGGCTATGTAAATAATAAGGACAAGAAGTACACACTATCAATTTAATGACTAGTTTTAGCTTTCAGAAAGATCGTATTATAAAAAAAAGGTCAAAAGGCTTTACTTGCTATTCACATTTTTTTACAGTTACATTCCAAATTTAATTAAAAAACAAGTTTTAACTTCTTAATTTCAAAATGAAATATTTAGATAAATTCTCAAAATTCACTTCTCATGTAACAATTTTTCATCCCAAATTGCCCATTTGAGATTTTCTTTCTACTCCTGTATGATTCTCTGAGTTATAAAAAAAAGGTCAAAAGGCTTTACTTGCTATTCACATTTTTTTACAGTTACATTCCAAATTTAATTAAAAAACAAGTTTTAACTTCTTAATTTCAAAATGTAAATATTTAGATAAATTCTCAAAATTCACTTCTCATGTAACAATTTTTCATCCCAAATTGCCCATTTGAGATTTTCTTTCTACTCCTGTATGATTCTCTGAGTTTGGCATAAATAACACACTTATACTATTAAGATTGCTAAGCTATAACAAAAACTTGTAGCTTTCAATCTTTTTGCTTTACAGGAGATATGAACAAGAAAAAATCCACATTCCATGTCCTCCTACCATATCCTGTTTTTCAAAAAAATGTCAGTTCTCTCTAACATTTGCTACTGGATTACTTATGACCAATAGAAAAAGATTTTAATTTTCTGCATTCCCTTTAAGATTAGCTGTTTATGAATGAAAGCTTTTGAATTATTCATTGTATGCTATTGCTGAGATCACCTTAACCAGCTAAAGGAGCTATTTTAACCCGTTTCTTGCTTAGTTAGAAAGCCACTTAAAATAGTTTTATGACATTCTATATTTTGTGCATGATAATATTTTTTGTTATAAGTTGCATATTTGAAATTAATAAAATATATTTTGCAACATAAACATTTGATATAAGTTTAGGTGATTCTTGAGGTTATGCAAATGAAATATGAATATTGTAAGGAGAAAATAGTATTTTATTCTTAACATAATAATAATCTTGTAAATTCAGAAACAAATGTTTTGTTAAAATACATTTTTGTGTACAACAGACTTGTAATACTTATTAAAACCTCATCAAAATCATGAAGATACACTTAGTAAATTCTAAGTTATCGTATGTATAGTTTCATGGTTGGTGGTTGATGATTAAGCCTGTATACAAAGTGTTCATACAGTATTATCATACCTATACTAATTGCTAGTATCAGAAATTAATAGCTTCTTTCTGTACCACTTCAAGATTTGACATACTAAAATAATGATGTACCAAATTTGATTTAAACTGTTAAGTGTATTAAACAGGCCATAATAATTAAACAACCAAATTTTCAATATAGTAAAAAGCAATAAAATCTTATACCACTAACAATTACAAAATTAAATATATTTTATGAAAAATATTAGCATTTGGTAATAAACACAAGACAAAGGTATTAATTTTCAGACTGAATTTTTTTAAATACATCCATGTCTTCCAAATATTTAACTATCCTCTGAATAACTGAGTAACACAGATATAATTCCTTTCACTTTTCATGCAGTTTGTATTCTTTTTAAGTAATCAAATTTAAGGCTTTTCAAGGTCAATATAATACAAATTTAAAACAATGTTGCTGTGTAAAATTCAAAATAGGATCGGATGTGGTAATGGGTATACAATATTAGTAATTAGATAGAACAGTACATTGAAAAATATTTTGAAACACTATCAGGTAATTCTGTCAAACATAAAAGCACTTCTATATAACCATTCTACTCGATTAGATCCAAACCAAAAGTTTAACAAAAAATATGCATAAGCATATTACTTTAATTTGAATATTTTTTATAAAAGCATGCCTGATTTGAAAACAATGTAATTATAAACCTACTAGTCTTATCATTTGATAAATCTTTGCTAATTGTGTGTTAACACATCAATCATTTCTATTAGTCAGGTGTTACCGATGCACTAACTCAATGAGCACAGGGGCTATAACTATGTGTGAGTATACAGATAAACAATCCCACAGTACTGTTCAATGATTATGTGTCCTGCCCTCTTGTGAATGACAGAAAAAATATTTTCACTAAAGTTTCATATCACATGACCTGAGATTTCTGCAGTGGTTTCTTTTGGTTACACATTATAGCTACATGATATTAGGTTTGCAAACATTTTAGTCTCAGTGAAACTAAGTATTTTACAAGAATCTGATCCAAAATTATTTGAGGATGATGATGTAGGTAGGGATAGTAATTATAAGCCTAGTGATTCAGAGACTGATGATGAAAGATGTCTGGACTGTCCAGACTAGATAAATGTTCAGGCTGATTTGTCCGTAGCTGACACTGTTGATCCAGACACTAACAGTGACGCTGGAATACCAGCATCAGTTGATGGACGGCAGACTGTCCAGGCTACATATGTTAGTCCAACTAATATATATTTTACAATAGAGTCTCAAGTGGTTACAGGTTTGTCACCAGAGGCCAGTCTAGTTGATATTTTCAAACTGTTTGTGACAGATGATATTGTGAATATGATGGTCACTGAAATACACATGTTTGCTGAACATTTCTAAGAATTAAACCATCTAAAACCTGAAAAGAACATTTCAAAATACTTCCATCTTCAAATCAACCTATCTCATCATCCATGGGTCATGAATAGGGCTGTGATTTTTAGTAAATAAACGAACTTTCACAAATTTGTAACAATATCAGTAATTTAATAGTTTTGAGGGTAGATCTTGGGAGATTTGGAAATCAAATGATTATCTTGAAAGATTGGTTAAAATTTTTTATCACCTATAATAAATAAAGGAAAAAGAACAGGACTCGAGAAGAAAATGTTACATTTCAAATACCTTTTTATTAGTCTATGGTTAATATCACATAGAATGCTGTGAAGGAATGATAAAGAGATAAAGACATCAATTAAAAAACAACAAAAAACAATGTAATTGAACCAAAAACTGACGGTTCAAGCCTTATTCTATAATTGTGTAGATAATAATAAAATATATTTTTCATTTGTGAACATTAAGTCACACCTCACATGTATATAAATCGAAAATTTATCTTTTACCCTGAGAACAGTTATCAGTCGGATTTTATACTTACATTAGCCCACATCTGTAGAGTAGCTGGGTCAATCTTGTACAACTGATTGAAGTTACAGTACACAATAGCATTCTCTGGAAGCCCATACTGTTGACGACTAGTCACCAAGATAGATTTTGGAGCTTCTTCTCCAGTAGCAGCTTTATTATTGATCTAGTGTAAAAAACAAGAATACACTATAACTCTTCCAATGACGTGTTTAGCTCAAATCTGTGTACACACACACACAAATAATTAGAAAAAACACACCAAATATTATGGGATTGCTCTACACTATTTATGATAATGAAATGCACTAAAGTACAGTCACACACTGAATAATTTATACTATGATTGGTTGTCACCAAGATAATCACAGTATAACACCAGCATAATGCTCATGACGGGCAGTCATATTATTTCCAGTAGTAGTGTGGTGGATGCACTTACAGTTACCTGGGCAGAAATATCACATGACAACTGTGTAGAAATCAAAGTCTTGGATGAAGAGAGCTACCATACGTGACAGGGTGAAGCAAAATTTCAAGTTTCAGTAGGAGCAGTAAAAAAACCATATGTATTCTGGGAGAGATGACACTATTGTATTTTGTATGTAGCTGGTACTTTCCCAGTCTTACCCAAAATTTGTTTAGGACTGCATACTATTCATATTTCAGCCAGGTTTACCTTCTTGGTAAAAATGCAAAAGTGCTCACTTTGTGTTTGGCCTCTTTCTTCAACTTAGAGTCAGGGAATCCAGTTTAACTCAAAAATACATTTTCTGTTGAACCTCAAATTATTTAAGGGTACAAGGAGTGGGAATTATATCTGTTACAAACCAATACAAACCTGGGTTGTTGCTAAACCATTCTGTACAAGTATTCCATTAACTGAGGTTTGGACTTGGCCTGAGCTGATCATGTTCTGAACTGGGGTGGTGGTTGGTAATTCAATCACAGTTTTCACAACTTCTACTTTTTCAGTTTTTGCATCTTTCTCACCTGAAGTGGTTGGTGTCACAGCCACTTCTCTTATTTTCTGTTTAAAATGAAGCAAGAAATAAGAACTATTAACTAAATTGTACTTGAATTAGAACCAACTAATATCTATATACAATTAAATGTCTGGCACAGCATACATTGTCATCACAGAGGTGATGTGCATCATTCACTTACAACAGCAAGGAAATAAACTGAAATAGCTGTGAAGTTCATTCAAATGAAAAATAATAATAAAGTAAGAGATAACCCAAAGAAGATATTTATGCCATACTCCAATATCAAAACTCCTGTTTTTGCTTTAAAAATAATAGCTGAGACTCCAATGTAAATATTTACCTTCACTTCCACTTTGTCAATAATTTGAGACAGGTCTATAGCATTGAAAATACTAATGTTATCTGCTAAATCAGGCTTTTTCCCTTGAGAGTCTTTTGTTCCAATAATACACCTTTCTATCAAGTGTGGAAACATTTGCTTATGGTCTCCAACAAAGAATGTTTCAGGCATATAGGCCAACTTCTCTGAGTACTGACTGGCTAGGTGGACTGGTGAGGTCACCCGGTCAGTGATGATATAGTCCATAAAAGGGGCACCACTGGTACCTGGATATCCTAACCACATGATCTAGAGTAAAAAGAAAGCACAAACAACAAAAATGTATATGAACCTAAACATTACTTTGAAATTGGTGTTTCAAAGTATAAAATATAATGCAGAAATATGTCAGTAGCACTAAAACAAATAGCAGTACATGTGTTTCAAATACTGTATTCATTAAATTCTAGAATAAAGCTACATGGAGGCTGGCCTTTATATATTACATTATATGTTTTTGAATTTCGCGCAAAGCTACACGAGGGCTATCTGCGATAGCCGTCCGTAATTTAGCAGTGTAGGACAAGAGGGAAGGCAGCTAGTCATCACCACTCACTGCCAACTCTTGGGCTACTTTTTTACCAACGAATAGTGGGGTTGACCGTCACATTATAACGCCCCCACGGCTGAAAGGGCGAGCATGTTTGGTGTGACAGGGATTTGAACCCGCGACCCTCAGATTGCAAGTCGAGTGCCTTAACCACCCGGCCATGCGGGGCATTACATTATATAATACAGAACATACAAATGACAAAAATGGAAATTAAATATTGACAGCTACATCTTCATAGGATTTTTTTCATACTGTATAAACCTCACGAGTACAAGTATCTACTTATCAGCGCAACATTTGTAATTTCTCAGTATAGGTGAACAGTTTGTGGCACTTATCTAAATTAGGGAAATTTAATTATGGATAAACATGTTGTCTATTCAAACCATATGTTATAATACAATTTGCTAACAAAATCCACCATCTTATAATTAAGACAATTACATGCAATATGCTGAAAAATAAATTCATAAATTCATTACTGGAGTTAAAATATGTCATATTCCTATCTGCAGATGCCCTATAGTAGGAAGTTGTTTTTAATCATATAAATTCATGAAACAATACACAATGAATGAACAATTTTTAAAGCACTTCTTCAGTGTTAAAAACATTTCTTTAGATCAAGTTAGGCTAAATGAAATGAAGAAGTGCAATAAAACAGAAGTAAATCATTTGAGGTTTATTTTGTAGCCTCAACTAGTGGACATGTTTTGCTTTTACTCTTAAGTTCTTAAAATTAGTATTATGTTTCTTGGGATACATTTTACAAAATAAATGTTATTTGCAGTTACTGTGCTTTAGGAAACCTAAATTCATTCTGAAATTAACAAATTAATTTTTGAATTTCATTAATCGTTAAAAGTTTTAATGGAAAAGTTTTTGATATATAGTGGCATCAGGCTAGCTTTTTCTTTTTTTTTTGCAACTAAAAGCAGAGTATAAAACACTCAAAGATATTATGGAAGTATTATTGTCAAATACACCAGGTAACGAGAGTTGTGTGGAAGGCCTGATGCAAATCAGCTCCTAGACCAAATGGGGCTCCATACATTTTTTTACAAGTCCAAAGGTTCTCTCTCAAACTACTCCATAATTTGTTCATCTGTGTCTGGAGGCAGAAGCATATCAGCAAAGAATGGAAAATAGCAAATGGGGTCAAAATTATCAAAGAACAAGACTTGAAAAAAATATTGGCCGGTTTTGCTCGACTTTGCTTCTGAATGTTGAAATCAAGATCTTCATTGGAGCTCTAGCCACAACTCATGAAGTATCTACCTGCTAATAAGCACATTCATACTTCTGTAAAGAAAGGAGATCCTGGTATACTTGACTATCTGGAGCATGTGCCTATGATATAAGAAGCAATTCAGTGTGCAAAATTCAAGAAGCTGGACCTTCACATGTTCTGACTGGATTTCGCAAATGGCAATGCCCTACAACATGATCCACATATTGAAGTGTTATTTCAGTAACTTCAAAATGCATTTCACACCTAAGACATTCACAATGGCAGCATGGATAAAACAGGTTGGCATTGCAATGAGGTGTACAATCTCTCCCATTCTCTTTGTTCTGGCCATACAGGTGAATGGGAGATGGTGTACATTCCATCACTGAAAGCATTCACAGATGACACCACAGCCATAAGCAATAGCAAAGCCACCAGATGCTTGCTTGCTTGCTTGTCTTGACACTCTGACAAGCTGGAGCAGAATGAAATTCAAGCTGAGCAAGTCAACGAGTTTGTCACTGAAAAAAGGAAACGTTAATGAGGTGAAGTTTTCTGTGCCTGGCCAAGTTATCCCAACAGTACCTGAGCAGCCTGTCAAGAGCTTGTGGAGGTGGTATGACCACTCATTTAACTCTTTCAGCCCGGGCTCAGTCCCTGGGACCGACCTCTTAACCATTTTG